GGTTCGATCGTTTTTTTTTTTTTTTTTTCTTAACTCTGATCGATGATCGAGGAGGATCGTCGGAGGCGTGGACAAACAGAAGATCAATGGAGGAGGAAGAACGGTGGGATTTTTCGAGGATTTTGTGGAGAGAGATCGATTACTAGCGATTGGTTGGGATTGTACGCGATTGAGATGCGAGATGAGCGGATATGAAGCGGAATTATTGGAGATAGTGGATGGATCGTGGTTGCTGTTTGCTCGGCTGGAATTTGTTCAAAGTATGGGGAAAAGGGATGTCTTAGTTTGAGTTGAAAATTAAATTGCTTTCGTTGGGTTTTAATGGAAAACCGACCCGCTTCCTTACAAGTTTTTCAGCGAAATTTGTGTAAGGAATCTCACGAATCCGATGGTTGATTTTGTATTAATGAGTTATATTGTTGTTTCCGCTTTGCTCGTTTTCTAATTTTGTCTTTGTTCTTTCTTCTTTTTGATCAGGTTGGCTCATGTTTCGAAGGAATATTATAATCAATTGCAAAAGACATTTCTACCGTCAATTCACATTACATTTTTTAAAAATATAAATCTTTGATTAAGTTGATTTTATTTTTCTCAAAGAAACTCTCATTTAAAATACATCATTATATTATTATACGTATAAAATCAGATATTCCAAATAACGTGAATTTATTTCGTATCATAGAATAAAAATACTTTTCCGACCTACTGTACACGGCACATATTTACGATCTCTGAAACATCTTCCTCTCTAAGTGTTCTTGCTCGTAAAACGAATTCATCTCGCTTATGTATCGAACTGTCGAATGTACAGAAACGCATTCAGAAATTTCGATAGTTCGAGAGATCGCGGTGCAAAGACAATCGCTGTTTCGAAACAGTAATAAACAACACGTTCAATACGCCTTCAAAAGTTGTCAACTTCCATCCCAACGTTTGATAACGCTGATCAGTTTGATAAATTGGATTTTACAGGCCAAAACGAATCGTTAACCCTCCCAGCGTTCGTAAACGACACTTTTTATGAAACGATATAAAGTGCGTTTGACCCGTTTCGAAGCGATCGAAATAATTCAACGATGATGAACGAATCAAACCGATCGTTTTCTATCCGAATGCAGAAAGGACCGGTGTTAATATATTACCAACGATCGAATTAAATAATGCGAATCACGTTTGGTGATTACCGGGTCACTAATTATGCGAAAGGTGTTTTGATGTGACGGAAATACTGCAAAAGGGGATCTAATTTATAGCTTAATCTACCTTTCCCCTCCCTCCCCGTCCAACTGTCAATTACGACGTGTTGTAATAAACCGGTGGTCGAGATTGGCTTTTTCGATCGTGCCCAATTTCTTTTCGCGCGGTTTTCTGATAAATTGTCCTTTTGCTTGCTCCAACTTCACCGTGAAATATCGAATTATCGTTCGTGGAAAGATTAAAAAAGTCGTATCTCGCTCGGACTTTCTCGTGATATATTAAATTAGAGGCCGCGAAAAGAGAAAAGATCTATCCGTTTTGCAATAAAGTTCATGCCAAGTATCGAATTATCGCAGCAGAATGAAAAGTGATTATTACTTTTATTAGCCTTTTTCTTTTTAATTCTTTAAGAAGTTTTTTTTTTTAAACAATAAACGCAATATTAGAATAGCATGAATTGTAATCGAGAAGAAAAATGAGTCTATAAAGAGTATATGGAAGTATAGAGAATCAATGAAAAATTAAATTAAAACTTTAACAATCCTGATAAAATTTATTGCAGGATATATTGATTTATATTATTTGGATGTATTGATATTAGTTTCGAAAGATTTATTAAATATTTAAACGTTTTATTTTATATATATTTTTTTAATATTTTTTTTTTTTTCGACAAACATACGTGAAATAAAATTACAGTTTGTAATACCGAACACGAATTTCAATTATTTGATAACAAATTATATGATTGAAATGCTGTTTGATCGAAAGATCTTGTTGAACTTTATTAGTATTTAGTGGAATTCAATCATATCTTGTATAATATAATATTGATAATATAATATTTACTTGACTATATTATTTTATATTAATATAACCGCGATATGGGTTTGAATATTCATGATTTCATAGTTATCAAAGCAAAGAGTGTAAAAAAGGTGAGAAGATATTTTATTTTTTCTTTTTACTTTAAATCTAATTTTTTTTCATATTAAAAAATACAGTGTATTATAAATTTTCAATGATATCCTGAAATTTAAAATTTTTTCTCATAAAAAACTTATCCTTTTTATTCTTCTACAAATTGGAATTTGATAAAAATATTGTAAATTTCTGTCGTATAAAAATATAACAAATTTTTCATTATAATACCAACAAGAGATATTGTAACGAAAATAAAAGATTGCTGCCGTGAAATATTGCAATATTAAATATTCCATAAAAATTTCCATTGATTTCAAAATTTCAACCGAATTTAATAATTTACATTATCAAAACCTTCCTTACATCACATCTCTCTTATTTTCACCAACAAGACAAAGAAAAAAAAAATAAGATCCTTCCGTAAGATCCTTCATTCCAATTCCACCTCGCAACAATTATTCAAATCCTTTCTCGCCAAATATATCACGAAGCATTAAAATTCACGCGCCGACACGTTCTCGCGATTACGAGATTTCTATCTAAATACACACATGATGTAATCAAGCGCAAATGCTTGGAACAAACGTGTTCCTGGTTCTAGAAATAGAAAGAAAGAGAGAAGACGTACCCAAAAACGATACGAAGGAACGTTATACGCGATCGTAGCAGAAATTTTTTATAAATGGACGTTACGATGCCTCTCTGTAAACCATTCCAAAACCCATTCTTTCCTCGAGAGGGCGCTCAACGTCCCTCGTATGCACAGGTGAGAACCATCAAGACTCGTTTATTCGTCGTACCCCTTTTCCAGACAAGAATTTCAGATTGCTTTCTATTTCTACGGTGAAACGAGATTCATTCAATCCGGCGAAACAAGCACGGCGAATAAAAAATATTTTAAAAGATTTTCGCGATTGTCTACGGTTACGAGATCGGATTAACATAGCGGAGAGCAAGGTAAGTTGGCGGAAACATGGCCATGGTTGCGAATTGTGTAAGTTATACGCGTATACGTAATCGCGTTTAACGGCCTTTTCATCGATGTTCGAACACTTTCGCCGTTTCTTGAACAAGTTTGTCCGAGAGTAGGAGAAAACGGGGGAGAGAAACTTTTCACTTGATAATCTTGTACAAGTTTCGTACACCGTGCTGCACCGTGTACCAGCAAATCGTGACGAATTTTATTTATTTTTTTTTCACGCGGAAAGATTATGGATTTTTTTTAAAAAATTTAGTACGAACATTGCAGATTATTATTATAATAATAATCGATATTACAATGATATATAATGGATATAATAAAATATCCATTATATGGGAATCAATAGGGAGACAATATTATTCGAATATAATATCGAGTAAAATAATACACATATTTATTTTTCATCTACTCTATATCCACCAAAAAATCGAATCGATACGAGAATAATACTCAAGAATCCCATTCAAAGAATCTAAATTCAGAAACGAAATTAGTAATCCTCCGTGGCAGGTGTCAAAGAATCCTTTCGGGAGTAATTAAATTCCATCGATCCATAAATTCCACGTGCGCGTCATCAACGCGGACGGATCGAAATCGAAATCGAGTGTAGACTCGGAGACGATGGATGGATGGATGGATGGATGGATGGACGAGCGAGTGAAACGTGGGCGGCCTAACAATGCGGAGAACGCGGAGCGGGAGAATACGCGCGATTTGCAATCGTTGCACGGCGGTGCATCGTTGCAGCGATCCGCGCGTCACGTCGCCGGCCGGCCACGACGACACGAAGCTGGGTCGGAAGCAATTAGCAATTAAAATCGAGGGCTCGGCGATTGATCGGTCTGGTATGATACGAGGCTGTCCCACGGGCCAATCGACTCCTGGATTATAATTACGGCCGCTAATTGCGCCCACCCCGCTCCTCGCCTCGTTCCTCGCCACTTCTGGCAAAGAGTGGGCCGTGTGATTGGTATCCGACAGGACACAGGCAGGGTTAAAACGTTCCGAGGACTTCATTTCCGACATTGGAAATTTTCGTTTGCCCGCCCGATAATTAATTTCGATCTAACCGGATCTCTCTGGAATCCCCTCGTCTGTCTCGGGGGAAAAGGAGGACGAAATTCGAAGATTCGATTATCCGTATGCATACAACGAAACGTAATATGTAAATGTTTGTATGAGGGTGCATTTCCGGTGTTTAATTGAAACGACTCGAGAATTATTACGGTTTTTTTTTTTTAATACACGAGGCAGGCGACGAGATTCGACGAAAGCGAAACTAGAGACCTCGTTTCAATCCTTTCCAATATAGAATTGTCCCCTGTGGACGAGTGAAAAGAGGCGAAGGCATCGTGGAATTCTAATAAACGTTCGACCACGATCGTTAACTCGGTCGGAAACGAGATTCCCGAAAAAAGGGCTGGTTTCGAACGAGCAAAGGTACGTACAATCAAGTACGTGGATACTCTTTTAATTGTAGCAGTTGACAATGAAGAGTGAAAGAGCAATATTGCAGATCGTTGTAGTGAATTTGATTAAACTTTAGGTAACGTAAATAATTACATTTAATATGTTATTAGAAAAATATCAATTTATTTTGTTTTATTTGTTATAAGTTTTTGTACATGAAATTATCTAATTGTTTAGCAACAAATTATATTATCTCGTAATAATAATTTACATTGCATGTTAGCAAGTATCCACGTATTTGTAAATGGTACTATACATATATCTTTGCCTATTTCGCTCGCTTCTTCTCCTTTTTCGCGCTATTTCTCCACGTTATCCCGAACTGATATTTCGCGCGGGAATGATAAAGCTTGCAACCGCTATGAAATATCGAGGGCATAAAAATATATATATATATATGTACATATATATTTATAACCACACTCACGTCATTTTGAGCGAAGGTCGGCGTAATTGGCCCATCGCTGGCTTCCCATTTGTCGGCGATGCGGATCGTCTCCGCCGTTTTCTGCTGCACCGATTTCGACTCATCGAGCAACGTCAGCTCGTAAAATTCCTGGATATCTGCAACAGTCCGGAAAATACGATAAATTAAATTAATACGTATTAAACAATAACTATCGACGTTTATTGCGATATTCTTTCACTTCGAATCGTAAATTCATTTTGTTCATCATTGTTCTTTTTTAAGAATCCAATTGATTTGGTTCAATATGCGGATGGCCTATATCTCTCCTTTATTATCTATGATGGAAGAGAAAAATGTTATTTAATTTCAAGGAGTAAGTAATTATATTTTCAATTCCCTTCATCTTCATTCGTCTATCATAATTATTTTACTTATTAATCAATTATTCTTCCAGCTAAATAATATTTTCTTCCGACATCTTATTATCGTAAATAATAAATGAAATATTTAAGATTCTCAAGTTATATGAAACACGTTGTACATTTCACGTATATATTTCAAATACATCACTGTTTGAAGTAATATTTTTCATATCTGCTTAAAATTCAATATAGTTCTATGGATGTATTATTGATATATGAAGTCTCTCTATTGAAGTCTCACTATTGAAGTCTTTCTAGAAAATATTCAGCTGTGAATACATACAGAAAGATGTACGTATGCCGTGAATAAAATTTATATTATTATTTAAATTCAAACTATAATTATTAATATTTATTTTAAACGTCGTACAATTTTTTTTTCGTTATATAAAAATAATAATATAATTAAAGTTGAATTTTGAGAAAAAAAGGTAATAAATAAAATTCCACGAAATTGCAGACACATAATTTTCAAGAACTTCTCTTTATGACCTCGATGAATCTTCCTTGAGGTTGGTTGTCTTTCGAGAACGACACTGAAAATATAATACAACGACGACAAGCAGTCTAACATGGATCCTTTGTGGTCGTAGTGGGGTCGTATTTCCCCGGTACAACGTTTAACCACTAGTCTTTTGGATAGAATGTCGATAGACAGGACATGGATCAAATGACGACAATTTTGTTAGTTAAATTAATCGAAGAGAATATATACATAACGTCTTGAAAGAATTAAATCTCCTTTCAATTGATTAATGAGAGATGAAATATCGTAATAATATGGAATAATGGAGGATATTATAAGGAAGATTATAATAAAAGAAGAGGTAATTTTCCAGAGGTAAGAAAAATTAACAAGTAATTTTATTAATTTTCAAATTAATTTTTAAAACAAATATATATAAATTTTAATAGATATAAATGATGGAAACAAGAAACAAATATGAAACTATGTTATTAATTTCAGATCCTCTACTATTTGTATCGTTGAATTAAAATTACATAGTTAAGTGTGTTTATTTAGGTCGTATTAGACCAACATCGTCAGTGGTTTAAACTTAATTATGGTTGGTCTGGTATTATATCTAGTAATATTGATATATAACGTAATGACATAACTCTGGAATTAACTCTGGAAATTACTCACGAGAGGGCAACTAACAAGTGACACTCCTGAGGGCGATACTTCAAGGTAAGTACTTGTCGAGTGTCGATTTATTAATCCTTTGAACACGTTTCGAAAGAATTTCAATATTAACTTCGATAAATTCAATTGCCACATCGATACATTTCAATTTTTCCAAATTTTAAAGTATTTTTCGTAAATCTTTAAAAGAATCCTTTTTCTATTTTTTGTTCAGATATAATTTTAGAGTTTAAAGTTTAAAATTTTAGACATTTTTTTTATTACATTGCAAAATAATATATCCTTATATTACATACTTATATCCTTATATTACATATATAACTACATAAATTATAATACATTTTTAATATAATTTTTAATTATTACAAATTTTGAACTCTAAAATTATATTTTAACAAAAAATTAGAAAAGAAATTTATGTTTTAAAAATTTAAAGATTTTTTTTTGCAGTGTGCCACAACTTTTTATTCCTCGATATATATATACTAATCTCAGTCACAATTACTTACCAACTTAATCATTATACTTAAAAAATGATTTCAACGACGAAGGAAAATTCACACGAATAATACCCTAAAAGAAAATACTTGGACATAGACGGAGGACATTTTTTTCAAGATTTTCTTAACGGGCGAAAAAATTTAAACTAATCCCACAGCCACACGTAGCGGTATGTTAAACGTCAAAGAGACCGCTTGTTATTCGTGGCGAAAAAAATTCTACGACTTTAATTAACGTCCCGACTTTTTGTCGCAGCGAACGACAGCCGTCCTCGAAACGCTGTGCGCCTGGTCCTCTAATTTTTCGTTTTAATTCACATCTAATGGCATCTTCTCCGCGCTCTCCAATCCCAGCAAGTCGAGAGAGTGTGTCGTTGGCACTATTTATGCAAGCAACGGGAATCTCCAGTCTACTCTCGGGAGTCGGGTACAGCTCGCAGCCGGCTACAAAGTTGAGTATTCGAGAAACCACGTTTCGAAGTCGTTCTTGAGGACTTTTTTCAACAGAGGGAGGAGCGTAAGATGTCATTGGACGAGATCTCGGGCGAATATCATCCACCAGGTTTTCATACTTATTTTTTTCACCATGTCATCGAAGAAATACATGTTGTTCGAAGATGAAGGATTTACGATGACGAAGATATGACAAGAAGATATAAATAGATGGGTGATATTTTATTGTAGAGATATAGTAGAAGTAGAATGTATATAATATATAATATATAATCAGAAATTAACAAAATTTTATATCATTTCATATTATAAGGTATCTCACTTAACTTAAATATCTCAATATCTTTATTTTTTATGATAAAAAAAAATACAAAGAAAAATATTATTTTGTTTGTATAGATATATATTATAATACATAAAGATTTCTTTAAATAATGAGCAAGTTTAAATTAGATGGGATACCTTATATACAAAATTTCATACTTTATTCATTGGATAAGGAAACAAAAGATTCAAATAAAAAGAATTTATTTTTTTTTTATAATAATTTATTGAATTCGATTGAATACAATTGTAATAATATTGTACAAATTATGTATATATATGTATATAATTATGTATATTTTGTATACTGTATACTGTGTATAATATTGTATTCATATGTATTATATAATAAAATAAAATAATAAAATTGTTTAATTCTATGTTTATTACTCCCAATTCATATTTCCCAATCCACATCCTCCATATCATCAAAAATTTTATATATGTTACCATCTTCAAAATAATATTATATAGAAATATGTATAGAAACGTGCGTATAAATTTATACCATATATAATAATTAAACAACATATTTTATTTCAGAAACATCCGCCAACGATGCTTTCTTACCACTTTTCGTTTTCTATACATCTAGGGTCAAAGGAATCTAAAATCAGAACATATATTCTCTGATCTTATCTTATGAAATAAAAGCGTATCTAATATTTGATTATTCTAAGCAAAATAATCAAAAAATGATAAAAAAAATTCGTTCCGAAAAATACTAGCAATAAATAAATATGAAAAAATTTTGGCCAAAATTTCGACTTTTCATTAGGAGAACATGATATGCAAAGAGGTGGCACTATAAATTCTTAGAAAAATGAGGCAGAAATAATTCTCAGAAAATTTTTGGCCAAAATTTCGACTCTTCATTAGGAGAATATGATATGCAAAGAGGTGGCACTATAAATTCCTGGCAGAAATAATTCTTAGAAAAATTTTGGCCAAAATTTCGACTTTTCATTAGGAGAACATGATATGCAAAGAGGTGGCACTATAAATTCTTAGAAAAATGTGGCAGAAATAATTCTCAGAACAATTTTGACCAAAATTTCGACTTTTCATTAGGAGAACATGATATGCAAAGAGATGGCACTATAAATTCTTAGAAAAATGTGGCAGAAATAATTGTCAGAAAAATTTTGGCCAAAATTTCGACTTTTCATTAGGAGAACATGATATGCAAAGAGGTGGCACTATAAGTTCTTAGAAAAATGTGGCAGAAATAATTCTCAGAAAAATTTTGGCCAAAATTTCGACTTTTTATTAGGAGAATATGATATGCAAAGAGGTGGCACTATAAATTCTTAGAAAAATGTGGCAGAAATAATTCTCAGAAAAATTTTGGCCAAAATTTCGACTTTTTATTAGGAGAATATGATATGCAAAGAGGTGGCACTATAAATTCTTAGAAAAATGTGGCAGAAATAATTCTCAGAAAAATTTTGGCCAAAATTTCGACTTTTTATTAGGAGAATATGATATGCAAAGAGGTGGCACTATAAATTCTTAGAAAAATGTGGCAGAAATAATTCTCAGAAAAATTTTGGCCAAAATTTCGACTTTTTATTAGGAGAATATGATATGCAAAGAGGTGGCACTATAAATTCTTAGAAAAATGTGGCAGAAATAATTCTCAGAAAAATTTTGGCCAAAATTTCGACTTTTTATTAGGAGAATATGATATGCAAAGAGGTGGCACTATAAATTCTTAGAAAAATGTGGCAGAAATAATTCTCAGAAAAATTTTGGCCAAAATTTCGACTTTTTATTAGGAGAATATGATATGCAAAGAGGTGGCACTATAAATTCTTAGAAAAATGTGGCAGAAATAATTCTCAGAAAAATTTTGGCCAAAATTTCGACTTTTTATTAGGAGAATATGATATGCAAAGAGGTGGCACTATAAATTCTTAGAAAAATGTGGCAGAAATAATTCTCAGAAAAATTTTGGCCAAAATTTCGACTTTTTATTAGGAGAATATGATATGCAAAGAGGTGGCACTATAAATTCTTAGAAAAATGTGGCAGAAATAATTCTCAGAAAAATTTTGGCCAAAATTTCGACTTTTTATTAGGAGAATATGATATGCAAAGAGGTGGCACTATAAATTCTTAGAAAAATGTGGCAGAAATAATTCTCAGAAAAATTTTGGCCAAAATTTCGACTTTTTATTAGGAGAATATGATATGCAAAGAGGTGGCACTATAAATTCTTAGAAAAATGTGGCAGAAATAATTCTCAGAAAAATTTTGGCCAAAATTTCGACTTTTTATTAGGAGAATATGATATGCAAAGAGGTGGC